TACATTTTTTCCTATAGAAATAAATAGTTGTTACCAGGCCATCCGGCCCTATTATATTTCATCGCCTTCAATTTCACGACGCTACAGCTTTATTTCGCAGTGCGTTAAATCGCACTATATTTTAACAAGCAAGTTGTCGCAGCCAGCGTCATAACGGTTGACTTGCGAAACCGTAGCCAGCGGTAGTAATCATTGTGAGCTAAAACCAACGGACGTTACAGGGTGAGCAGAATGCCGATGAAGCATAGTCCACCGAGACGCAGCAGTCGCATTCAGCAAGAAACAACGCGGGAATTGTCTCAAAAACCTAGCGATATGAGTTCAACAGCTGCCAACGCCGCCGCAGCGCTAATGACGATGTCTGTTGCACCTGCCGCCGCACCCCCAGGAGCCACATTAACGGCCGCCATGACCACTACCAACGTCATCCCTTCACCGGTAGCCTCATTCTCAGCAGTTTCTGTCGGAACCACCACACCCCTGGTAAGTCAATTTATCGCCACCACAAATGCCGACAAAGCCGCCGCAGCATCGATGGTTATGCCTGCTGCCCAAACGACCACAACCCCAATGACCACGCTTTCAACCAATGTCGCCACACACTCAGGGTACATGTCAGCTGCCCATGCCGTCGCAGCCGGAACAACCATATCAGCCGCCATACCTACTGCCCATACGGCCGCAACCGTGTTCACTCCCCCAAACACCATAAGCTCCGCCATCTCGTCAGCTATTGCCATGCCCATTGCGAGCAATTCCGCAGTCACATGCACCGAGCATATCACCGCTACGTCTCGGACTGCCAGTTCGGAAAACGGTAACAGCACCATCTCCGCACAACAGGTGAGTCTCTTATTTGAAAAAATACAAGCATTAGAAAACCAGCTTCGAGACGCACAAGTACAGCTGGTTAGTAACAACCAATCTCGATTGTTCGATGAAAGCGCCCGTTATAACGGGCAGTCCGTCGTGCCAACGATTCCAAATAGTCTTTACAATCCCGCGCCTTATAGTCAGTCAAATAGCGAAAACGGTGTCCAATCGTTGTCTTTGTCAGGTCTTTCGCCAGCACACATATACACAATTGCTTCGCAGCCGGCAACAACAACACTGCCTAACCTTAATGACGGTTGCCGGTCAAATGTTGTTTTCAGTGCACTGCCATGCCGACCGCCTTCAATAGCAACGAGTGCAGATTCGTTTGTAAACAGAATACACACACCGCAATCGCTAGTTACTGCTGGCAATTATCAAATGCCGCGTAAAGTTCAAGACTTACCCGAATTTAGTGGTCATGCGGAGGACTGGCCATTGTTTTCAAATGCATATATGCAATCAACTGCCGCCTACGGTTACACCAACCTGGAAAATAATCAACGACTACTGAAATGCATAAAGGGAGAAGCCAGAGAAGTGGTGAAGTCATTGTTGATCCACCCGGATAACGTAAACGCTGTCATGGAGCAACTAAAATTTCGATTTGGTCGACCGGAGGGGTTGATACGCAGCCAGCTTCGACAACTGAAAGAAATAGGTCCGATTTCTGAGTCAGCTATTGAAAAGCTTATTCCGTTCGCAACGAAGACTAAGAATTTATCTATCTTTCTACAGTCGGTGGATGGATTTCAACATCTTTCAAATCCAACGCTTTTAGAAGAGTTGATTAGCAAGCTGCCCATTAGTAAAAGAATGGATTGGGCCAGATATGCCGCTACGATCAAACCATATCCAACTGTTGTTGACTTTAGCAACTGGCTTGGCGATTTAGCAAATTTGGTTTGTACTCTGCAAGATAGTGATAGTCGTCGACGGGTAGTCCTTCATGCGATGGAAAACAATTCCAGGGAATCCCAACCCGCTGCCAGGTGTCCGATTTGTAAAGGACATCACAAAATTAGTGTATGCAAGAAATTCGTAGATTCCTGTGTGGCTGACAGGTGGGCTCAAACAAAGCAGAACCGGCTGTGGTTTTCGTGCCTGAGAAGCGGTCATTCGTCACGCGATTGCCGTAGTCGTACATTGTGCATGGTCGATGGTTGTCAGCGCAAGCACAACAAACTTTTGCACGAGCCTAGCGGCGCCGCCAGTGCAACTGTCACACAACGACGAGAACAACAGTTGGTAGGTACCACCAACGTGATGGAGTCAATGCTAAGCTGCTCCTCAAATTCAACTAAGCAACAAGGGCTCTTATTTCGCGTCTTGCCAGTAACGTTATATGGGCCGCGTAACCGAGTTGAGACATTCGCGATGTTGGATGAAGGATCGTCCATCACTATGATGGACCAGGGACTTCTGAAAAAGCTAGGTATCGGTGGCCATGAATACGATTTGAATATGCAATGGTTTGGTAGAAGAACTGCCCAGGAAGCTGCCACGGTTGTTGATCTGGAAATCAGCGGTAAGGGCTTAACTAAACGTCACAGATTGCGCCACGTTTATGCTTTACCGAACCTTAATCTGCCAGTACAAAGCCTCAGTAGCAGTGCCCTACGTGGAGTGGCAACTCGCGATTTGCCCAACATGCCTATGCCTTTTTCCAACGTCACTCCAAAGATACTCATCGGGTTGGATCATTGTCATTTAGGTTTACCATCCGTAACAATGCAGTTGGAAGATCGAGGCCCGTATGCAGCCAACACGGAGCTTGGTTGGGTGGTCTTCGGTCCGACCGGGAAGAGCGTTGCGTCAAACGCAGCATGTCTACATATAAAGGAGGTAAGCCATTTGCATAGTTTGGTTGAAGAATATTTTGACATCGACAGCTTTGGAGTGCGTTCTGCACCAGTCGTGAAGAGTGCTGCAGACGCACGTGCTGAGCGCATACTAAAGCAAACAACGTTTCGTGTAAAGGGGAAATTTCAAACAGGTCTCCTTTGGAAAACTGACTGCGTCAAACTGCCTGACAGTTACCGGATGGCTGAGAGCAGATTGTTGGGTATTGAGCGTAAATTTAAAAGGGACCATACGTTCGCAGCAGCATATAAAGCCATAATACAGCACTATATTGCGAGAGGATACGCGCGGAAGCTGACACCAGCTGAGAGCGAAACTGAAAACCCAAGACTATGGTACCTGCCCCATTTCGCGGTTGTTAACCCTAACAAGCCGTGGAAATTGCGCCTTGTGTTTGATGCTGCTGCATCAGTCGGGGGTGCGTCACTTAATGGAAGTTTGCTCAAAGGGCCGCAAGAGTATCAGCCGATGCCTTCAGTGCTCTTTAATTTTCGTACCGGGCCAGTCGCCGTATGTGGAGACATAATGGAGATGTTCCACCAAATTTACGTCCGGCCCGAAGATAGATGCTCGCAGAGGTTCCTGTGGAGAGAAGATGAGAAGAAACCACCAGAGATTTATGAGATGCAGGTTATGACTTTCGGTGCTGCCTGCTCCCCGTGTGCGGCACAATTCGTTAAGATGTTAAACGCTCAGGAATACGCAGACCGCTTCCCTCGCGCAGTGGAGTCTATAGTGAAGTACCACTACGTTGATGACTTTGTGGACAGCTTCGAGTCAGTCGAGCAGGCAGTCAGCATAGCAAAGCAGGTGTCCAAAATCCATGAAGCAGCCGGATTCCAAATGCGTGGATATATATCCAATTCAGTTACTGTAATAAAAGCGCTTGGAACTGATGTCGATGCGAGAAGCATTAGCAGCTGTTTTCACGCAAAGAATCCTGCAGCTGAAAAGGTACTTGGATTGTTTTGGCAACCTCAAGATGATACGTTTAGATACGAGCTTAAATTCCCACGACTGGAAGCTGAAGTCATCAGTGGAAGCAGGCCACCAACGAAGCGAGAAGTACTTAGTTACGTTATGTCCATTTTTGATCCATGGGGATTTTTAAGTCATCTGGTAGTGGGAGCCAAGATTATAATGCGTGAAGTTTGGCGACGCAAGATCATTTGGGATGAGCCCCTGCCTGATGATATTACTTCGGCTTGGAGGAACTGGCAGAGAGAAGTGCGGAGAGCAGCTGCGGTCAGAATACAACGTTTTTACTTCAAGGAGGGTACGCCAAAGAGTTTGCAGCTGCACGTTTTCGTCGACGCAAGTGAGGAGGCCTTTGCCTCAGTGTGTTACTGGAGGTATGTTACTGCTGATGGAATCGCCAAAGTTTCACTTATATGCGCGAAGTCAAAATGCGCGCCCATGAAACTAATAAGCATACCAGGCTTGAACTTCAAGCAGCGGTACTTGGAACACGTTTGTCACAAACAGTTCTCGATGAGTATCGGCTTGCAGTTTCCTCACGAATTCTTTGGAGTGACTCATCAACTGTAGTCAATTGGATAAACTCGAAGCATCGAAAATATAAGCCATATGTGGCGCATCGAATAGCGGAGATCCTTTCAACAACCGAGCCGACTGATTGGAAGTGGCTGCCCACCAAAGAAAATGTGGCCGATATTGCGACTCGCCGAACAAGCCAAATAGATGTTGATCCATCTTCGCGCTGGTTCTCTGGTCCATCGTTTTTGTCAATGCCAGTGGAGTCATGGCCACGTGCCTCGGTCACTGCGAACAATCAAAATGACAGCGACGAAGAAATTCGTTCAACTAGCGTTTTCCTAACGAATACCTATGTTTTAATTGATTTTAATCGGTTTTCCTCGTACCCTAGGTTGAAAAGAACAACGGCTTGGATGTTGAGGTTTATTGATCGTTCCCGACGTATAATATCGAGTGGGGGTGACTACGGATTGACCTCAAGCGAAGTCGATGCGGCCGAAGCCTATCTGTGTCGCCAAGCTCAGTCTGCAGTATACGGTGTGGAAGTGAACCAACTAAAAGATGGACAAATGGTGTCAAAGGAAAGTCCAATCTACAATTTACTGCCGTACTTGGATGCGAAATCGGTCATAAGGGTAGGTGGTAGGATCCAAGCTGCCAGCTGGTTACCGCTCTCTGCTATACACCCAATTGTGTTGCCACCGAAGCACCGCGTCACTGTGTTGATCGTCGCGCATTACCACTGTAAAATGAAGCACCAGAACATAGAAGCAACAATTGGAGAAATAAGGCAAAAATTTTGGGTCTTGAACTTGAGACAAGTCCTGCGGAGGGTTGTTATTGGCTGCATGAAATGCAAAGTATCGCGTTCCAAACCAGCTACGCCAATTATGGGTCCGCTCCCTCAGGATCGATTGACACCGTACGTCAGACCGTTCAGCTACACCGGGTTGGATTACTTCGGCCCTCTGAAGGTCACTATTGGTCGGCGCACAGAAAAGCGGTGGGTAGCTCTTTTCACCTGCCTTACGGTCCGCGCGATACATCTGGAAGTGGCTTATGACTTGTCCACCGACGCCTGCATCCTAGCAATAAGGAACTTTATTAATCGACGAGGTGTCCCTGTGCGTTTACGGAGCGACAACGGTAAGAACTTCGTTGGCGCAGATCAAGAGGCAAAGCGGTTTGACGAGGTGTTCGACTGCGAGCGTGTTAGCAATGAACTGTCATCAAAGGGTATTAGGTGGATTTTTAATTGCCCCCAGAATCCATCGGAAGGCGGTATATGGGAGCGCATGGTGCGCTGCGTAAAGCGGGTTCTAAGTCACACGTTGAAAGAAGTTGCTCCCCGCGAATATACTTTGCAAAGCGTCATCGTAGAGGCGGAAAACATAGTCAACTCGAGGCCTCTTACTCACATGCCGATCTCGGTCGATCAAGAGGAGCCGCTTACCCCAAACCACTTTTTGTTGGGGTCGCCGAATACGATGCAAACGCCTTGTATAGGGCAGCCGGATGAGAACATATGGACATTGCGGAAACAGTGGAGAATTGCACGGCAGCTGCGCGACCGATTCTGGAAACGTTGGGTCGTTGAATATTTGCCCGATTTGACAAGGCGAGCTAAGTGGTGCGCACCGTCGAAACCATTGAATGTGGGCGATCTTGTATTCATTTGTGACCCGAATATGCCAAGGCGACAGTGGTGCCGGGGTGTGGTTGAGAATGTCTACCGGGGTGCTGATGGCGAGATCAGAAGAGCAGACGTCAGGACAAACACCGGGGTGCTTCGCCGTCCAACATCAAAGCTGGCCGTTTTGAACATAGAATCTAGTGAATCTGAGTGATTCACGGGGGTGGGGGTGTTGCAAAACGCCCATCTCTGACGCGTTAAATATTCATCGATGTAAGCTCATCGCTGTTTTCGAA